TACCTCCAGTACTATGTTGAATAGAAGTGGTGAAAGTGGACATCCTTGTCTTGTTCCTGTCGTTAAGGGGAAGACCTTCAATTTTTCCCCATTCAGAATAATACTGGCAGTGGGCTTGTCATAAATGGCTTTTATTGTGTTAAGATATTTTCCTTCTATACATAATTTGTTGAGAGGCTTTATCATGAAGGAATGTTGAATTTTGTCAAATGCTTTTTCAGCATCTATTGAGATGATCATATGGTCTTTGTACTTGAGCCTGTTGATGTGATGTGATGCCCTGGCACCCTGAACCAGCATCGTGTAGGTGAGCCCCCCCCCCCCCCCCCCCCGGTGCCAGCCAGCAGAACTATGGCTCCACATGGCTCCCTCACCCGGCCGCCTTAAATTTTCAATTTATGTGAAGGAATAAAAGAGAAAAGATCCAAACCAAAACCAAATTGAATTTTCCAAACTTGTGTCCCTTCATTTTTTCTCCCATTATTTCCTCACCTAATGTATTTACATAACTTTTTGTCAGAGTAGCAGAGAGAGTTGCGAATTTGGTATTTCCAAATTGCGCTGTAAATGAGAATTTTGCTAATGCAATATCTTCCATCATGTTAATCAGCTTTGAACTGCTTCATATTCAAGCCACAGAAACTCAGTGTATGTCTTCGAGGGTCGTGCATTTTAATTACCAAGTAGAAGGAGTAACTCTGAAGCCTTCTGCCAAAAGACAGCAACCCTTAACAGTTGCCACACACAAAAAGAACAGACTTAGAACTCATTCAACTGCCTACATCTTGTCTCTGATATGCTTGCGGCCTACATAGACCTCCAAGCAAGCTCTGTGCCTCCACAGCTTTTATCAAAGACATTTCCACTGAGATAAAAACTGGCCCATTTCCAGTCTCCAGACACTCAAATTTCATGCTGGCAGGCAGTATGCTTTTCCCAAATAAATAAGTTGATTCTAAGGAAAATTCTAATTTGTTGTTCTTTCCAACAATGTCTCCCAAATACTTCCTAGCACACACTAACAGCTTTACAAGTGATTGTTACATTGAATCCAAGAGTTTATGCAATCAGAAAATATTTTAAAAAGAACAAAAGATACACTGTAGATATCTTTCTGGGCCTTCTGTATAAGCAAGGCCTCAGAAAATGGGAAGTTGGTGTTTATCCCATGGGTGTTGTTTGCATGGAAGAGGCTTTTCCGAAATGTGCTTTATGGAGCCCGGCGGAAAGCACAAGTTTTCCCAAAGCCCCTTCTCTTAAATCTCTGTAAATTTATCCATCCAAGAAAAGTTAATTTCAGTTAATATATTACACATAAACACATGGTTGAGAGGCTACTTTCTTAGTTTGGAAAGAGAAGAAACTTAATCAGACTGTTGTCCAGAAACCCAAAGTGACTTTGATGTTTATTAATTGAAAGAAATGTAATTTCTGAAATTTATATTGCAATAAATAAACAAATTAGTAAAATTTGTGAGAAAAATTATGATGATCTATGATGTTCTTTGTGTCATTAAAAATACTTATTCAGCTTTTCAAAATAGATTTCTCTTCTAAGAAAATAACATGAAGGGACAGAAAATAATCTTTAAGGATTTCTGTCTTCATGAAAAAGTGTATAATAGCATTAACTTATCTCCAGTGTGGTCAGCAACTATATAAATGGCCTGTTATTCTGCCTTTCTAGATTAGTTTAACCTAGGGTCAGGTAAGAAGGTGGTTAAAAATAAAGAGGCCAAAAGAATTGCAAAAATGCTGATATCATTCAAATGATCATTTTAGTTTTCATTTATCACATACATCGTCTTGCTCCAACTAAAACATCTGCCTGTCACCTCATAAATGTCCCTACACTTCTCTTCCCTTTAGGAACAAATAAATGGAGCTTTAAGGGAGTTTTAATAGCCAGCAGCTGTTTGGCTGTTAAATACTGCATCTGGAAGGGAGTGTGCTATTCATATAAAAAAAAATAAATAAAGACAAAAGTATTGTTTAATATTCTTAAAGTATGCCAGTGTTTTACATAAAGACATTTGAATGGTTTGAATATAGGAAAAGACATAAGAGCTCCTTAGTGCATCTGAAAACCAGTATATTGGTACCAGAAGGCAATGAATAACTGATGGTATTCGGTCATGTTTAATACTAGGTCGAATGACTTCCATCTTGAATGAGTTTAGCGCCAGATAAGGGGGCAGTTCATGAGAACTTAGATTCATTTTGTTCTTCTGAGATGAGCTCTACTTCAGGCTAAAATGAATCATAATAGTTTTCCTTGCTAAGTTATAATTGTACTTTTCTGAATGCATAATCCACTTTTTAAAAATGCACTTCTCAAAATAAATGTGAGGACAGGGAAACATCTGCTTTAGAAAAAGTTAAAATAAGGAACTGGGCTTATGAGAGTAACTCAAAAAAAAGGATGACCCAAGGATCTTCACGTGCTGAGTAGGGCTGCTTTTAAAACAACATGCTTCAAGGCTATTTTAAAGGGAAATATAAAAACTATAAAATACTGTTTTTACTTTGGTAATCCCCCACACTGAGAATCAACGTTGTTTCCTCCACTCCTTTACTTTTTCTTTGAAAGGAAGCTGGGTATAGCAACCATAGAACCAACATACAATACTTCAAGAGAAGGCAAGTTTTACCCTTGCAGAACCTACAGAGTTTTCATTCCAGAGGAGCGAGTTCAGGAGAGAAAGAGGGAAAAATGACGCAGGCACCGGCTCTTCTGTTGCTGCCCTGTTTGCTTTCATCTCTCTTCTGCTTTCTTTTTCCCACTTCCACTGAGACAGAGGCAAGGACTGTAGAATATGCCTCGTCTCCTCGTCCTTCCCTCTGGACCCCAAGTCATATACACCTTAAAGGTTAACTTGAAAATCATCTCCTGAACATTTTAGATTACTATCAAAGGACCTATCCCTCTCCCTTTTTCTCAGAAATACAAAGTTTTAGCCACTGCAGAAAAAAATATATTAACTACTAAATTATTTGTAATTTCTATCACTGGTAAATAGAATCTAAACATTGACATGCATTGCTGTCAAGAGGAGGCAACAGAGTGGTGTTCAGGGCTTACAGAGTCCTTACAATTCTCCGCATGGAAGGAGATGGCTTGTGGGTATGGGGGGACAATGGGGGTGACCCTACCTCTTTGTATTAATAATGGGTTGCTCCCTTTCATTCTTCCTTCCTTCCTTTCTTTTTTCTTTCTTTCCTTTCTTCCCTCTTTTATTTTTTTCAAACTGTAAAATTTTGCCAAATATTTACTTCTGCTACTGAAAGGAAATGGGGTATGACCTTTCCTAGAAATCATTAAACATCATACATATTATTTTATGTTTCTATAACATCTATGTATCTTAGAGGTTGTCAATATAATGAGTTAATCCTCAGACAACTCCCGTGATGTAAATTTATATTTTACTTACATTTCATAGAATGTTATATGAAATAGATCAATGCTTATTGTAGACCCCCAATATTCAAGGAGAATATACTGCTGTATGCTGAATCTTTCCCTTAAGGTAGATAAAATCTTATTGAGGAGGCAAGACTTCTCTTTTTCCATCTTTCTCTCCATCTTCTCTTTGCTGGAAATTAGGTCAAACAACTTCTTCATGCTCTATTCTTATATCTAAAAATCTCACCTTCTTCTGACTTCCCAGAGCAGTTTATCTGTGCTTCTTTTATGAGGTAAAATGAGAACATATATTTTACTCAGGTATGTGCAAGCAGCTTGAGGACAGTATCTGATTCATCTTCTGCAAGCAGCTGGCACAATACTGTGCACGTAAAAGGTGTCAAAGAAGAAGTTAAAGAAATAACTCTGAGCCAATGAGTAGAATGGGGCTTGAGAAAATCCTTGAAAGAGTGATGGAATGTTGAAAGAGGCTGGGGAAGCAATTTCTTGATAAGGTTCTTAGTAAACTTCTCACCCTATACCTGAACTAAAGATGAAACAAATTAGGAGAAAAAATAAAGCTATTTCTTTACCTTATTGGTGAAACAGAGTTGTTTACCAGGAGAAAACTTGCTCAGTTGAAGAGAAATCATCCTGAGCTCTAATGCTTGTCAATGGAAACTCACCAAATATTTTAAAAATCAAATAACCCCCATAACCTGCCATGACTCTTGCTTGTCAGATAGCAACAAAAGAAAATGTGTTTAAATAGTCCACACCATTACCCATCGTCTTTTTCTTTTCTACTCTACGTGGTTCCACCAAGATAGTTCTCTTCCTATGTTAATCGACTCATCATCTCTGTCTGAAAGCAAACATGCTCTAATTAGTAAATTACTATTAGTAAATTACTAAATAAAATGTTATTACCTTTCAGAATCTTCAGACTGATTGGTGAACATTACCAGTTTCTCGCCGTGTTTCTCATTTGTGTTTATGAGCCGTCCACCTGGAATCTGAAAGCAAAAACATAGAGGACATGATGCTCAGGCGTGTCTCAAGGGAAGATAACTCTGTCAGTCACCAGAGGAGAAAACCACCTGTTAAGTGCATTTTTCATCAAAAGCCATGTTTTTATTCTCACGTCTTGTTTTTAGCCCTGCCAGTCATGAGAAGACAGACCACAAACTTGCCGTCTGCCTAGTTTCAATCAAAGGTAAACACAGGTGTAAACACAGGCTCAGTCTTTCAGCGAAGGCAGAGTCTCATGACAGGGAGAAATTGTCCAGGAGCAAGTAAAAGAAAGCTAGACATTCCAACACATAAGGCATAAACTGTTAAAGTTGTCAGACTGACATGTTTGTAGTTCAATTAGCCACAGCCCAGGAATGAGTTCTCCATGAGTGCCTAAGAACCCCAAAACCCTAAAAGCTCTCCTCCCAGAACACCACTCGCCCCAGCTTTTTCTCCCATAGGAGTTAGTGATTACTTTCATGATTTTCTGGATAACAAGGAAACTGGCAATGTGACAACTAAAAAAGAAGGAATTAAAAAAAGAAAAACTGTGCCTATGATACAGAATTTTTTCATTTTCATTTTTTTTTTAAATTTAATATTAATTGCAACTTAAGCACCAAACTGTGGACAAACATAACACAGCATAGTACCTCCTGGGGCTTATGGTATAATCTTGAGATTGAAAAATTTGAAGACTTGTGCATGTTTTAAAAAGCCAATTCCTGCAGGCACTTAACACATTTTAAATGCACCTGGAAACCACTAATATAGAAAATATAGGGAATTAGGTCTATGGGAAACATGAAGCCAACTTCTCTGAGTTTTGTGAATTTCTGTTTAATTGTAACAACCATTTAAAAAAATTTGTTTGTTAAAATGCTCCAAGAGGGATTCATTTCAGCTATTGGCAAGCTGTCTGTACATAATATGGGTGGGTGGCTTGTTTTGTTTTGTTTTCAGCTTGTGACAGCTGTTTAAAAGTCATCTGTTACCACCATAGTAGCTAGTTACTACATGAAAGCAAATGACTTTCAGGACTGTTGTAGGAACTGGACCACCAACAAGGACAGCTATCTTTTAATTGTGCAAAATTGCAAAGCTGTCCAGCTTCTTCATGTGGCATTTTGGAGATATTATGCAATTCTGCAACTGCATTAAAGAGGAAAGCAAGTGACATGCTACCTGATAAAGAGTGGCTTGGCAATAAGTGCCTATTTCTGAAAGATGAGGTTTTATAAACTGAATTAATAAATTAAATAATATAAATTTATAGTAAGGTTTTAAAAATGTCCTTGATTGTCTAATTATTCCTAAATTTTTTTTTTTATAAATGCTAATTTACCAGTGTATCTGCAATTACACATGGAGTCCTGGAATATCAGAATTTGAGACTTTAGAGAATATTCTAAGAATTATATCCATCATTTTACAAGAGAGGAAACAGAAGTTCAGAGAGGACAAATGACTTGGCTAATTCAAGGCTAATCTAGAATTAAGCGACAAACCATTTTACTCCTAGTCCATGATTTTCTATTGTTACATAATTGACATTGTACAGGTGAAATTTCAAGTTTGAAATAAAATGAGATTTATTTTAATACTAATATATTTTTAAAGTAATATGAAATATTTTTACATTACAAATGAAGTCTCATAAAATATATTTCTTAGGCAATGGCATTATATTATTTGAACTCTGGTAGTAAATCCCCAAAGTGGCATATGGAAAGGGAAATCCCTAGACTTAAAATTTTATAGTTTAAGATAGACAAGGCAACAGACAAGACAGGTATCATCTCAAAGGGATTAATTATTTTAACAAATATTGTATTTTTTTTCTAAATAGAATTTCATTGACTGGAATTTTACATTTGTTATTATTCTATCCAAAAAATATCAAATAGTGATAATCAGAAAAGACAATGTCCCAGGCATAATTATAATTTCCCATAGTTTGTTTCCAACAGAATTCCTTTTCATTTCCACAGAAAGAGGTGTTTTTCTAACCGAACGGTAACAAAGGAGACAATCAGAAAAAAGACACTCAGAAATTAAAGGGCTTCTCCTTCAAGTGGAAGCAAATAAATAAAATCAAGATTAGCCTGAGGACACAGAGCCCTCTCAATACCAGCATCTCATTTTTTTGTTGTTGTTATTGAATCATAATTGATTATACATATTTTTGGGATTCAACGTTGACATGTTGATCAAATCAATATTATTAGTATGTATATTGTTACAAATTGTACTTATTCTTTATGCCTCTTGTCCAATCTCTCCCTATCCCCCTCTCCCTCCCCCATCCCACCACTGATAACCCTAAATTTCTCTCTCCCTCTGAAAGAGTAAGTTACTCTGTTGATTTGTTGCCTAGATGATCTGTCCAATGCTGAGAGGTGTATTCAGTTCCCCTAATATTATCATAAAGCAGATGCTTCTTCTGTCACTCTGGAATGGGCTGTGTGGAGAGAGATATCCTCTTCTTTTCTTTGGTCTCTGCTGGTAACTGTCTTTGCATCAATGCACTCCAGGGGCTGGTGGACCTTCTGTGTGGTGGTTGTGATGTCTAGCCACTTTTGCAGCAGCCACGGTTACTGTCGTGGCTGTGGCGGGCCACCCACATGGAGGTGATGTTTTTGGCATGATCCTTGGTGCTGGCGGTGTGCCTGGTTGTGGGTGGGGTCTCCAGTCCCTGACTCAATGCCCTGGGCCCCCAGGTGGGGCCCCAGCACCTCATTTTTTAAAAATCTTAGACAAAATGAGCAACTTCAGAAGTCTTATAGGACTTAGCAAACATTTGCATGCCTCTCTGAACTTTATCTCCACTAATTACATGTTGGGGTGACGTTAAACCATAAGATAAGGAATTTTGCTTAAGTTCTCTCTTCTACAATTTTTCACAGAGCAAAAAGCATAGAATCAATCCAGAGAGGAGATTATGAACTTTCTAAGTTTTTATTGGCTGGTGTGGGGACCTACAAACAGACAGCAGGAAAACACCCAATATAACTAACCAGGAGACAGTGCAGTCGGAACTCCCAATTTTAGTAGCACACTGGAGTTTCCTTTAACTATCGTTCATTAGTTTCTTGTATAATGTAATTCAATACATTTTTACTTTACTAAACAATTTGAATATTTGAAACAGATCCTAAATATAACCACCAAGTAAGATACATACGCAGTGGACTTTCATAAAAGCAAATTGTATCCTAATACTAAACAGTAGAAAGATTAAAAAAAAAAAAAAGACGGGTACCTGACCCCTCTTAATCTTTGCCTATTCAAGATTGATTTCTCAGATATTTCATCCCGAAGTGCTTAAAATATAACTAGCCAATTTTCTACTGCTTGATTGTAGTGCACAGGGTCTGCTGCTGTATTCTTATTTCTGTTAGATTTCAGATAAAAGGTAACAAGATTTTGCCTTCCTCTCATGTCTGTGACATCTGTTCTCTGCCCTGCAGGGTCATCTGAGAAGCCATAATTTTGCTCAGATATATTCGTGTATGTGGTCCATGGACATAGAACCTTAGTATGCTATCATTGTTACTAAGGGGAGTGACCATAATGCATCTACTTTATTCCAGCAAAGCTGCTATGAGTTAAATATGGAAACCCCTCTTCTGAAATTATTTCTAGAAATATATGTGCCATATTTCTAGAAACATGCCACATATTCTTTTGAAAATTCTTAGAAAAGGCCTAAATTATCAGGTTAAAGTTTGATAAATAAGATGAAGAAAGTCAAGCTACATAATATCAGTTGATTTAAAAATATTATAGGATGAAAACTAACAGAGTTGGCTTCCTTCCCTTGTTAATAACCTGCCTTTTGAAATACATTTTCTTTGATCTATGGAAGCAGAGCAGCATAGTGGTTAAGAGCAGGCCCAGAAGTGAGGCTGCCCAAGTACAATCCCTGCTCCTCTATTCACTCTGAACAGGGAGATGATGATCTTTCTGTGCCTCTGTTTCTTCTTCTGTTAAGATGAGGGTAATAATAGTACCTGCCTCACAAGACGGCTATGAGTCTTAAATACGGCGATATGTGTAAAATTGGTACAGTAGTGCCTGGCATGTAGTTAGTATGCTATAATTGTTAATGGGTGAAATTTTAATAGAGTCTTAGCAGGAAGGTAGTAAATAATTCTGGTCAGTTCACCATCTGGACTCTCAGCCATGTCGGGAGAGCTTGGTGTATGGCGGTTGGTATAGATTATTATTTCTAAGGCCTCTTTTGACTCTAAAATTCTATGACTCTAAGATTTCAAGTAAAGATACAGGTGCTTGCCTTCAAAGAATTCATCACTCTGTTGAGAAAATAGGATGACAGCTTTAGAGGCCAAAACCCAGGTGTTTCTTATTTTCGTATCCCCAGGGCCCAGCATGGTACCAAACTTACGGTGAGGGCCTAGTATTTTAAAAACAGAAGAATGAAGGAATGACACCTAACCGTACAGGAGAGAAGATGATAAAATGAAAAGTAGGTGGCATTGACAATTAAGACCTTGAGGATAATAGGACTTACTAGAGCCAACAGTGGTTTCTCAGATATTTTTAGTTGATTATTTACATTGTTCTACTTTTGTCTTTTTTTATATCAAGATATTTGAATCCAAAAGGGTTTACATTTTTACCTAAAGGTGTTCTATAATTTTGTTTTCCTGGAGAAGACAAGTATGAAACAAACACAATTTTTGAAAACAAAGAAGATTTACAATTAAAGACCATAGAAGAAAGATGCTGGCTGACAGCATCCTCTCAAGCTAAAAGCAAACACATTTATTTGTTTCCATCATTTGACTACTTTCTCCTTTCTCTTCCTCTCCTCTTCCTCTTCCTCCTCTGTTTAAGGAGTTCCTACACTGCTAAATAAGCAGCTGTTGCTTTCTGTTTAACTTAAGCAAAACATGTCCTCAATTTTTGGATGAATTTCAGTGCA